GCAAAATGTACATCTAAGATTAGTGCTCTGAACAAAGTAACATTAGATACAGACATCAGGACTAAAGAAATGCATCTAGCCAGTTTCCTGCATCATGAACAGTTTGATGTGTACTTCAACGGAGGTACGGGATACTCCTCTGCATTCCTAAAACATTCCTGCAGTTGCACTTCTGTTGCTTATTTAACTTAAAATAGTCTAGAAGTGGTTTCCAAAGTAGGTTACAGGTGTTTCAGAAGATTAGGAAATAAACCAAGACCACACAAGCTATTGTCAGACCCTAGCTTCTGTTTTCTCATTTATTTTATTAGATTCTACGCACGTAAAATCTTTGGGGTTTAACATCAATCAACTTTTCTTCACAAAATCTCAGTGGAAGAGAACACCCAGACAGTGACCTCATGCAAGCTCAAGGCGATAACCCCAGAGGACAAACAGCAATTAGCAACACTGAAAAGTAGGGGAGAAAAAGGAATGGTTAAAATAAGAGCAAAGAATAAAAGAGATGTTAGATGCACATCACGGAAGAATAATACTTTTAATTGTGTTTCAGCTCTGACCATTCATTCAAGAAATACCAGCATAAATGAAAAATTCAACATGTCTTCTTCAGCCATCGTTAGCTACTACTGTAGCTCTACCAGTCATCTACTCTTTCCTATTTCCCGCTGGAATTTTTGGAAACATTCTCGCTACCTGGATATTTTCAAGGCAAGCACCCACAAAAAGAACACAATACATTTACCTGGTAAACCTTGCCACTGCAAACTTACTTGTATGTATCACAATGCCTTTTCTGGCTGCCTATTTTGCAAAGGGGTACCAATGGACTTATCACTCTGGAGCATGTAGAACAGCAGTTCACCTTGGGACTCTCATTATGCATGTCAGTATGTATGTTACGATTATAATTTTGTGTTTAACTGCTGTAAGTCAGTATGCAACACTGAAGAAAAACAGTGATGCACAATACTCTCAAGCAGTTAATGAAAACTTTCACAGATGTGTACTTGTAAAGTTTCGTCAGCCAAAATTTGCTAAATATCTGTGCATCATTATATGGCTTACTGTGATCTGCATAACAGTAACAGCTATAACATATAATGCCCAGGCAGGGGCTGTGGAAGGACTTGACAGATGCTACAACGTCAGGGTAGAAGCTGGTGAATTTACCACAATGATAGCGGCTTCTCTTGCCACTGCATGTTTTTTTGTATCTTTTACGACGGTCTTGTTGTCATACTATTCTCTTACCAGACATCTGAGTAAAATACAAAAAAATACCTGTATTGGAGAAAAACATCTAATTTACAGTAGAGTGAAAAGAAACATTCTTGTCATCCAGATTATATTAACTGTCTGCTTTCTTCCATATCATATATTTAGGCCAATTTTTTATGTACTGCTTACAAATAACGACTGCCCAAGGTTAGAATACCTAGTGGAGACTAAAAATTTCCTTACTTGTCTTGCTGCTGCTAAGAGTAGTTTAGATCCAGTTATAATCCTTCTGATTGATAAAACATTTAAGAAACATCTGTATGGCCTGTTTACAAAATCCACACCGGAACACCACAAACGTGAAGCTGATATTTTCACTGAAAAGACTCCCGAAATGTGAAGGAATACGGAAAGTTTTTAGTAGAACACAAGTAACATTAAACTAATTTTAAGAAATTATAACCAGACTTTGACATGAAATGTTAAATATTTATATAAAATGACCACGTATTACATGTAATTTTTTTAATGATCTTGCTTGCAACATCAACATTAGCCATAATAAATCCAATGCATATATCCAAATGAATCCAAGTAATTTATACAGCGAACCGTGTGACACCCCTTTATCCATGCAATGCAAAAGACGTTGTATGTTTGAACTACAGACAGTGTTTTCTACCTAAATAATCAAGGAAGAAGGCAGAAACCAGGCTGAAATTGAGGACCCAGCTGTCTTTTATCATTGATAAAAGAGTCCCAGACTTTGGATACAGTTTTCCTTTATAAAAAAGGCTGAACAAACCACAGACTTTTCTCTGGAGTGGCTGAACCAGGTATCGAAGGCTTAAGGAAGCAGGTACAGAGAGCTACAAAACACATTCAAGATTAGTACGTATTTTTTGTTCAGGAGTATTTGGGTAGAGGGTTGATTCATTTTTGTTTTAAATGAGAAATGCATCATGAGATGCTAAAAATCCACAGTGCATAAAGAAAAGTTCTTGATGACATCTTATTCTAAAGTTACTGAAAAATGCCGTTATTTACTTTAGCTATGTCCATGACATTAGGGTTTTGCTATAGTAACAGTTTTTTTTAGGATTAAAAAAACATGTTAAGAAATTGTGCAGCTTTTTTATTCTAGTCTTCACAGAAACAGCTTTACTACAGCTTTGTAATAAAATAGCAGAAATCTCAGATTTAAGATTTAACTAATTTATCACCCTGCTCTGACATTTCATGTCATGGCCGCAGTGTTGCTGAAATTACATCTGCAACAGGGTGACTCTGAAGAGAAAGTTTTGATGGTGACAGATAACCTGCAGTGGTGAAGTATCCACAGATGAAAAGAAATTCTGGTGTCCTAGGATTTTACTTTGTGTTTGAGAAGAATGGATTTTATACACGCTCAATAGCTTGGTCAGGAATCATTCTTCTTGCAGTCTTAACTACGGTAGTCACGTACAACTGCTGAGGCAGTGGCTTCCTTACTGGTACGCAGCCTTCTGGAAAAAGTTACTGACATCCACATTTCTGATGCATAGCTGTCTTGAGTTTTCCACCTTCCTTCATCAGCATTTTCTACTCTCCTTATCATATGATCCAACTTCCAAGCAGTGAATAAATGCAGTATCACATTAACTGAAGGTGAAGCAAGGGTGCAATGGCCACTGATTATAAAGCCTTTAAGCAATGTTGAAGGGGGTCAAATGGTATAAAGAGGCTCAACAAACGTCTGGGCTCCCAGAGCAGTGAAGGAAATGAAGACAACTACAGGCCATCTTGTGAAAGCTTTCATGTTTTGATTCTGTCATCGCAGGTGAATCTGCGGCATACAGGAGTTTATCAAAGGCTGCAGTCATAGTGCTCCAGAAGCTTTGGTAGATCTCGTCACTTACAGAAGTCAGGTGAAGTTTCTGGCAGTAGACTACAGCAAACTGACGGATTCCTGTCTAACTCTTCCTAATCAGTCAAGAGCTAAGGGAGCACAAAATGACTAAAAGACATCTAATTCTTACAGGGACTATAAGGCGCAAATTTTCCCGTGCATCAGATAATGATCAAACATTTTTCAGTTCAAAATAACATTCAGAGAAATCTTAAGAGGGAAAAAATGTAGTATGACTATGTCAACCTTACAGACTTTTACTAATTCAATTTCAGCTATTCAGATAATTTGGAAATTGGTCATTTAGTCTACTTCTTTCAAAACAATGTCTACAGTGACATCTAGAGCTGGGATACTGCAGTTAGCTTAATATGTTCTACACCCAAACCCTATAGTTATACTTCTGCACTGCTTTTGCCAAAGCAAAACACTGTCTGTTGGTTTACACTACTTTAGACTGAGACATTAAAAATTCTTACTCACTCATGTAATTGAACAGGTTTATTTCTAAGAATGTTATTTAATAAAAACAATGATTTTTAAGTTTTCAGAGTCTGGATAAGCTGCAAAATAAATTCCCATTTTATACTCTGTAAAGTGGGCCTCCCTCAGAGGCCCTTGAAACTGAAATTTGTTTTCATTCAAGAACATGGTCCAACAAAAACAGGTGCAGCTTTCAGAAAGACACAGCAATATAAAGATGATGTTAATTCTGAAATTCTCATGTGGTACCAGAAATGAACAATTAAAAGAATCTAGAACCTTCAAGACAGAACAAGATGAGACACTCTACCAGCAATTAAGAGGCTGTCTTCTGAATTTGCTGTAAGAAATGACTTTTAAAAGATCAAACTTAAAAAAAAGAGCCTATTATATGGAGTAATTTTCTTGATTTTAGAAGGATAGGAAAAAGAGATTGGGAAAGGTCTGCAATGCCTGTGTATGCAACACAAAATGACACCTTAAATGAAAATTATCAGTGTCCATACTGTCTTCCCTCACAGATCACCTGTAGGAGTTTGAAGCACAGCTCACCCTCTCACAGTCTTCTCTATTCACTAAAACCAAAGATTCACTTCTCAAACTGCACCATCAGAGCTCGTTAGAAATTTCATTAATTCCTATAGTGCTTGACTCACTTTGGATAAAAGCAAACTCTTTGAGAAGACAAGTGGGAATAACTACCATAGACAATGAACAAAGACTATGCATATTCAGATTGAAGAGAGTCAAACCCACTAGTTGCAACTCCCAATTACTTACATTACAGTACTTTGGGATAAACTAGTTCCATAAATATCCACAGAAATAGTACAAAATTCACCAGATCAAAAAGACTATGTACATACACTGTTCTTAAACACTGTATTTCTTCCTCCAAACTTGTTTGTATTAGAGCAATTTTTGTAACAATAATAAATGTTTAAGACTGCTTGCAAAAAGTAGTTAAGAATACCAATATTGCAGCATTTAAGCATGCGCATCTCTCTGAAATCTTAGTTTGGATGAAGACTGTCATTATGCTGTCAAAACAATGCCATTAATCTACCAATTCCAGTTTAATTTATGCAATTAATTTATATAGACATTTTCCTAACAAGAAATGTAAGTAGATTTCATATGAATATTCAAAAATTAGAAGTTAAACTGACTTTCAGAGTAAGTTGCAATTAAATACATTATGTAATCTGTGAATAAAAACCTCCTAAAAGTTCTATAGTGATGGAATTAGATGGGCTTTAATCTTACACGACACAGTAAGACTAAACACACACTCAGCAAATAAAGCTTCCTTTTCTACAGCTTCCCCCTTCCTCTAAATTACAGAAATTAAAATTCAGTAATTTGTATTATTATGGTGAAGAAAAAAAAAAGAATTAAACCCCCTTACCTTCACATCCCTGTGAATTATATTATTATCATGACAGTAACGTAGAGCTTCCAATATCTGTCTCATGTAATGACTGAAAAAACAAAGACATCACACATGACAAACCTGCATGAAAAATTACTATGCATATATAACAAACTAAGTTTTAAGGGTCTAACTATATAAAACTAATCAACCAGCTAAACCTTAAATCTACAAAGTGCAGTTGAATGGAGTTTGTGTTTATAATAATGAATAATAAAATCTAAAGTTTAAGGACTGTTCTTATTGAAGCCAAGGAAAATCAGAAAAGAAAAATCTGCATTTTCCATTTTGTAAAGGTTTTAAATATGCAGTAATTCTGCTTCATATGACAAGGAAGTCAGAACCCTTAAGGTACTTTTGTAACAAAACACAGAAAGGAAAAAAAGTGATTATCAGTGCCTGATTTATTTAGAAAGGGATAGAAGCAAGATCTTGGCTTGCTTGATGCAGATTGAAGACTAACTTCTTTCTCCCTTGTTTCCAAAGGATTGCCTAAGAGATTACTAACCACACTAGAAAGCCAACAGCATCCTGTGCTGGATCAGGCAGAGCATTACTAGTGGGCTATGTGAGGCAATGCTTGTCCTCTGGAAGTTCCAGTTTGTTACAGGGAAACATTTTTCCTTAGAAACATAGTTATGCACTGGATCAAGTTGCCCAGGGAGGCTGTGGAATCTCCATTCTTGGAGGTTTTTCAGACCCCACTGCCCAAAGCCTTGAGGAACATGATCCAAATGCAATGTTGACTCTGCCTTGAGCAGGAGTTTGAAATAGAGACCTCTTAATGTCTCTTCCAACCTGGCTTCTATGATGCTACAAAAATCTACAGTTTCAAGAAAAGCAAACAAAAGAATCTCACGGCTTTGAGCTCAGTTATGATGCCACTAGGACTCTGGATTTTTGTTGTCCTTTTGCAATTATACAGACTTTTTGATTTTAGTTTACCTAGCAAATCAAAAGTTGAAGTGACCATAAATAAAGTCATATATATATATAAAAGGAAAAAAAAAGACTCCATCTAGCAAGACCAACAGAACTCACACCTGCCAGGCAAGTCACCTAATGCCATTGCAGGAGAGATCAATAAAAGGCAAAGACAGAGAATTAAGTATTGGATGTGAAATACTATTTTATTCAATAATCCCATCCAAGTATACAACTAGTAAATGACAAAATGCTCCAAAATTCTACTTTTATTATTTGTAATAAACATTCAGACTGTGGAAACAGGATTATTTGTAGTATTCCAACTTTTAGCTACCAGATTGTACATCAGTATGTTCCATTCTTTCCCATTTTTCCTGTGGGATTAATTAAAATTATAATACATACCTGGCTACAGCCTCGCTGTACACAAATCCAGCATCCGCTCTTTTCACGATTTCAAAACACAGATCTGCTCCATCCATACTGCAGGTAAAAAGAGTGAAAAATACTTCAGACTGATAACTACAATCAATTACATAAAAGTTGCTAAAAAAAAAAAATCTATTTACTCCACATATAAATCTCACATAAAATACTCTGGATACATGTACAATGCATTGCTAACTAAAACAGCATTTCATAGGTAATCTAACAGAATATGGCTTGCCACAGGTTAACTGTTTTACACCGCTCAGGTCATATAGCAGTTGTTTCAACACATTAGCAAAACATTGCATTTCCTATATTGCTTAACCTGCTCACTGAACAAGGTGTGCAAGACAGCAGAAAGTCAATGCCCTGTACAAGAAGGCTCTCCAAGTTAACAATTAATGCATGATATCACATTATGCTCTTAAAAGCATTACAACGGCAACTCTATAATGAAGACTGCAGTTATACAAAAATCTTGCTCAAACTGAATTATAAATTAAGACTTTTATAAATACCCTAGAAGTGTAGTATAGTCTTTCCAGTACAGCATTCTCATAACGATGATTAAGAAGCCAAGAAGATATTTTACACCTCAGCCTGACCGAAGGCTCCGGAAAACAGTGACAGCACACACACTACGTCACTAGCTCTGATACTTGATACTTTGTTCCTTTTCTCCCTAATACTCTGTAGTCTTTCTGATAACCTAACTTCCCACAATGAGTAGTGTAATACTTTTAGATGCATGTCTTAGTCCTTAGGCTAAAATAAGATTTCCATTTCTCTAAAACCAAATCAACTTGGTGTGGTGTAAGCGTCCTCCTCTTCTTTCTCCTGTAAGCAACCTAAGGCAAATAGATATCTAAAACATTCATTGCTTGATGGAACAAGGAGAGAGTAACAAGAGTTAGTAGCAATAACAAAAATCACATATTATTATTTCATGCTTAAGGCACTTGCAAAAATATCGATTGTAAGATGTCATTTTCAGCCTTCACACCTTCTCTTTCCTCTCCGGGGCGGGGGCAGAAGGGGAAGAATTGGAAAAATTTGCAAGGTATCTAGAAAGCCACGTTATCAGGGCCATTTTGGTAAGCTATCCAGAATGTCAGCATACAATCACTTGTGGTTTGTTACACACCTGCAATGCAAAACTTCTGCTTAGGGAGTCACAAGCAACGTGCAGAAGCTTTAATTCCCCCCAAAATCCAAAAGGTATCCCCATGCAAAATACACTATCATGTGGATAGAGCACTGACAACTGACTGGTGAACAAAATGAAAAGCACATTCATCTAAGCAGGTGGAAAAAAAATTCCTGGCCAGTTATTTCGGCACCTGGTACCATGTTCGGATTTAACAAGCCCCACAAATCGGAACCCCATATTCCCAAATCATTGTTATACTAAGGAATAAGATGGGGAATCAAAATTTGAAGTGATAATTGAAATTAACCAGACTATTGCTGTTATAGGTATTTTTGTAAAGCCCTACCCTTAATTAAGTTTCAAATTAAGCATAGAAACTAAGAAACAGGGTTTTGAACAATGTGTTACTGTTTCATTAGAAGGAGGTACCAGTCCAAAGTAGAATCAGAGAGTGACGAATTGTAAGAATAGCTAACGAGCTATGAAAAGCTGCGGAGATCGCCACAAGGACCAGGTAAGTAGGGGAAAGGTAATTTCAGCAGGGGAGATCACGACCACTGACTCACGGACCACCTACCCCAATTATACCCCAGACTCAAAAGATAAAGAATCTGAGCATGTGTAATAATTCACATGCCGGACAAAGATACTTCAACCAACTATTTAATAGATTAATAATGGATATGTATTATGAAGATGAATATGGTAATGTTAAGTGTATAAATGACTGTTGATTTGTGAACAAGATGTGCTGTCTTGGGACAGACATCCATATTTGTGCAAATATGTAATAAAATACTGCTGCTCTGTGTGTATATTGGTGCACTGCACACCAGGTAAACGAACTTGATTTTTGGGACAACACCATGACTGTTCCTCACTGCATCAATATATTCCTCTGTAAGCTATTCTACCAGTAGATTTTCTGTCTTGCTCAATTTCATACAGCTAGTCTGTATACACAGCTAAATATCACTCAGAATGAGAATGTAGCATGCTGCACTATACATAGGACTGTATAGCAGCAATGGGGTCAGGTTCAACAGGAACAGCATGAATCTGGATGTAGCTAGCTCACTGGAATAAAACCCTCCTGTCAATATCCCTTTCAATGGTTCCTCCTAACAATTTATTTCAGCTAGATGTAAAACAAAACTGAAACCTGAAAAACATCAGAAACAGGATTTTGAATAATGAGAACATATAAAATGTATGATTAACTACCAAAAATGAGGAGGTGTCATTGTCATGAAGCAGAATTTTGTAACAGTCAGTGGCAGTTTAATTTTTTGCAAATACTTTTCAAATATTTTAAATTATGTTGATATTAAAAATCACTACAGACTGTGAGAAGTAATGTTTGAAAGTTTTATTCTATTAAGATAAGATCTCTTGACCTCAAAAGCACAAATTTGCAGCAGGTGTATTTTAATCTCTGACTTCAACTGACTACTTTTTCAAGACAAAAATCTTATTTTAAGAGATTATTCTAAGAGTAGAGTTTTCTTCATGTATAAATAGTGCTTGTATCACCCCAATGACGGTGAATTTTACTGAAAGATCTTATGAGACTTTTTTCTAGCTGCGGCTGCAAAAGCAAGAGTCAGCCTCAGTTACCAGAAACCCCAGAAAACACAGTGCACTAAGACTAAAAACTCAGCAATATCAAAATCACTTAAAAGATGACTTTGCAGAAACTGAAAGGCTTATGTGATATAAGAACACTGAAGTTTTGAGATATTGATGAAATGAGAGTTCGGGGAATCTCAAGGTTTTGTAATGACTATCAGCACTAGACATATGAAAATAGTAAAAATAAAAAAATTAAGATAAGCTAAAATCCACGAAAATAAACACACTGAGATACATACATGCTGAAGACATAAGCGGAAGACACAAAAAAAAAGTTGGTAAAATTACAGCACACTCTTAATCTCAGACAGAATCATCTGATCCCAGCAGAGGGCACTCACGGAAGGTGCATAAACCCACGGGGACAGTTTATGGTGTTTACACCGACAGTGCCAGCTAAAGCAGCTCTGAACGGGGAGTTAACAGCCAACACCACCACACCAGAATTGTTTTGGGTAACGGTATGAACTATGCCCCCCAATTTCTCATATTCTACTATTGATTTTTACATATTTTTAGCAGGCCCGTGTCTGGATCTCAGCCCTTTGGATACACGTTTCTTTTCATAGCTCTGATAAGAGCTACTGTGCACCTTGAAAATCTTTCAACTATTCTGCACAAAGCTGATGATGAGTTGCAGCCTGCCCAAAAAGTTTACTCCTGAGTCATATTCAATGCAGAAACCTGTTCCGAGGCTATCACTCTGTATACTCTGAAAGAGATCTACATTTTAATACCGGGTATGATAGCTTTGAATTTGCAGATGACCTAATAAGACGTGGCCTACAACTTAATCTATTGATGAAGAATCAGAAAGTTTTAAGAAGCACAGCTTTAGGGAATTTAATTATTACTTAAAAAAAGAAAAACAAAGAAAAATTCAGCATATTGCTCGTAACTGAGCTTACTGGGTTTTGCACAACGTATATTAAAGGTCTGTGCACAATGGCATTTTTTCCTTCAGTTGGACAGATTTTATCTACTTGCTGTCTTCACTTACTACAAATAAACTGCCATAAATTAACTCAAAAAATATAGTATTTAACTTTTCTTGGAGACCTATCTAGCAACCTCTGAAAATTAAGACCAAAAAGTACAGAAACTCTTATTTCCTATATAATGCCCATGCATCCAGGGTTTAGCTCATTCCAAATAATTAAATAATGTTCCCCAGTTTACCTTCTCGGCATTTGTTTAGAGGCTTTCAGTACTTTAGATTGAGACATTTTTACAACTTTGCTGGCAGCCAAGAGGTGAATTTCAGTGCTTTTCTTAAACTAACTCATTCCATTTAGTCAGAAACATTGCACAAACTTCACTGAGTAATGCTTAATTCCTAAATGACAGTGTAGAAGATGATCTTAGGAGGAGTAATTCTAAATACATATGCTTGGAAACAATTTTCTACTAGTGTTTTCACAGCAATGGTCCAACTTGATTATCAAATATCACGAAAGAACAAACATATGCATCCTCAAAAAGCACTGATTTTGGTGGTACTATAAAAGTAGTACTGTACCCAACATGAAATCTTTAATCCATACTCCAATTTAATGTTAAAACCTCCAAATGTCAGCCAGTATCAGGAGGCCATGCAAAAATACTCACTAAATAGCAATACTGTGTGAATTATTTCACGTTTATACAAACTCTTGAAAATACAAGTATATACAAGTATATACATTTTATATTGACTTCTACCAGTTAATTTAGCTCAAAAGTGGGTCTTCTGAAGCTTAGCTAAAGTAACGCAACTTTATAGCCTGTGATAATTAAAGTTATAATAAATGCCAAAATTTGAATGCATCAATGTCTCAATGCCCTGAATTCTCAGTTGCTCTGCCAAATTTTGCTACTTCCTATAAAAGAGCCAAAATTTCATCCAAGATAAAGATCCTGATTTCTGAGTCTGGCCTTGTCAACAGGAAACCCGCAAAGACAGCTTTTTAAGCATTAAAACCAATGAAGGCTGGTTTCCTATTAACTCCTGTCCATTAAATGAATGAAATCTGCAAATATTAAGCAAAGGTAAGATGAAAACCTGATAATTCTTTCCTCAAATATACGTTAGCTTTAAATTCTCTATCACTTTCTATGACTGTAATCAATCAATAGTTCACAGGCTATCAGGGACAAAAGAGAAACAGCATACCCAGATCAGATAATTGCCTAAACTTTGTGTCCACAAGTAACAAGGCTATGATGTACTGAATATGCATAACACATCGAAAAAAGAACAAAAAGAACAATACAAACACAATTTAAACATGAC